ATTTTTAATGACCACAGAGAGTCAGGACCTCGGTTTTACGTCTCATCCAAAGGACGGCGCCTGTTTACAGTATAGTGTCCCCGTCACTATCCTGGGGCATTAGGACCCACACAGACTGCAGGATGAGCGCCCCCTGCTGGCCCCACTCACACCTCTTCCAGCAGCAACCTTAGTTTTTCACATATACGGAGTCTGCATCACGTGTTGTACACCATTTTCTTTGCTACAAGGTTGGAGGGCTGTGGGGTTCACAAGCAAGAGACCCGGCTGCCTGCTTCAGGCTGGCCACAGCACATTATGCACTGCTAACGCTGCAGGATTCACCCCTCCCAGCGCTCCTTAGTGCAGTGTGGCTCCGGGCCGCACCTTGGGAAACCACGCCTTCTTCTCCTGATCCCAGTCGTACACGGTCCCGTCCTCGGGGTCCACGAACGTGTACGGGTCGTCTCCGTTCCCGGCCTCGCGGCTCTGGCCGTACAGCTGCTGCAGCCGGAGCTGCTCCAGGAACTCCTCGTTCCCGCCGGACTCCCCGCTCATCTGCGACACAGAACCCGCACGCCGTGACCACAGCAGGCTAAGGCTATTCTCGCGTCGACAGGGGCGATGCGGCTGCTCGTTTTATATCCTGAGGTCGTGGCTGCGCTGTGCGCCAATTCAGGACAAAAGGAACTTAAAAGACATCGACGCCGATGTCTGTGGACACGAGGGGGATTGTAGACAGAAATTCCGAAGACCCACAAACGCATTTGCAACTCGTCCTTTTTTGGTGAACACTGCACATTACAAACCAAAACGCTGTGGATCACAACCGATATGTACTTCTGCATGCACCGTGTGACAGTAAGACTGCATGTTGTTAACAATGAATACTGGAACTGTGATCATTAAAAGAGGAGGTTATTGCTATCTGTGTAAAACGCAACCGATATTTAATTAATCGTATAAAAAATAGAATTTGGATATCTGAAATGCGTTTCAACATATCGATATTTTTATTGCTGCGGGGGAAAAAATAAATATAGTAACAACATTAGGCTAATCCACTTTCTGATCGAGCACTCCGTTGAGTATCTCACATCCGAACTCACAAACTGAAAACTATTTAAAATGCGTCGTATGGTTCTTTGATCCCTAAAGGCATTCATAAAGCCTTTTCACATTAAGAAATCGTTGCTGGTAAAACAACAAAAATGTGAATTGTACTTATTTACCTTGAGTACCGCTCACTTAGCCAACATCTACTCCAGACGGCACGCTCCTCCCGAAAGCACTTCCGGGGTAAGAGAAGCACTTCCGGGAAAACACCATCGATATTTAAAAATTTAGTAACGCGGAAGTTTAGTCAGGAAAGCTAACAAAATATATTTAGTACAAGCTAGCCTTAACAATGTGTGTGCAGTTTGCCTATTTTCTCAATATGCCGTAGTGCCGTTCAGAAACGTTGTAGAAAGTGCATTGAGTAGCACGGGGGTCAGTAGTTCAGATCCTCATGGGACGTTGGTATTTAGCATCTCGTGAAATTAATGTCTACAGTGAGAGCCGTCTAAAAAGACTGTATGTCTTTGTTCATGTTAGAGTTGAGGATGTTTTTCAATAGATTCTGTAACAAAAAGCTTTGCCTTTTAGCCAAAGCATTAAAAACGTATTTTATTAAGGTCGAAGATGAGGCATATCTCATTGGTTGGCTTCGTCGATCTATATACAATGTACGTGTTAAGTGAGATTCACTAGATCTTGTACATTGGGACAGCTTTTACTTGATTTTGTACTTTTGCAGTCGTTTAAATTAATCGGAGGTGAAGAATAATTTATAATTACATTTATATCAAATTCAGTTTGTATCTGTTTACAGTCGACCTTACAGGAAGGAAAGCAAAGCTTAAGAAAGCTGTTTCCGAGTAAGACGCAGTTATGCAGGTGTAGAAGACAGAACTGTTAATGTCATGTCGTAGTGAACAGTGCTTTAAAACTAACAAAAAAATCGTCCAACGTGCTCACTGTGACGCGTTCTTATTCAGGTATATTTTTAATATTCTAAATAAACGTCAGTCATCAGTTCATTTTTTTTAAATATTAGTCTCCCTCACTTGTAGAACCGCTGAATGCTAACGATCTCCGTCCGTGTATGAAAAAAACTGCTGTCATGCTTCCAAAGTAAGATACGTTTACATAAAATTGTTCAAATTCATGTTAGTCCGAGTATTAATATTTTTATTAAAGACGTATTTTTCGGATAACAATTCATTGTTGATGTGAGATATTGTTCTTTTTCATCGCTGCAGGGTATGTTCTATAAGGCTTAAAACAGCAGAAGAGGAAAGTAATGCCTTCGCATTTCAAAAGCTGTCCTTTTAATTTCCTTGAAGCACAGAGGAGGTATTTCAGCTGCGAGTTGCACCATTATTCCGCCAGGGGGCGCTGCAGTGTCTAATAAGCGGTTCCTGCCGCAAAACACTTCATCAAAGACCGGCCTGCGTAACAGAGTCCGGAGACATACATTCTGGGTTTTATGTGCAAAAGATCAATTCCGTTGCGGTGCAGCTTTTCTCAAAGAGAGAGGGTGATCTAGATTTTTTTTGCACTGTGATCGGTTTGGCTCTGATGAGTTGTTTATTCAGCATATAATACACATATAAGCCGTTGGTAGTTGGGGGGTATTTGTTTTGCAAGTGAAAAAACATCACACGAGGAATGCATGCTCCAAGACAAGAGACTGTTGAGGCACATTAGTGAGGCAGGCAGGAGGAAAGGCATTTTTTTAACTTTCATTTGACTAAAGCTATACCTCAAATAATGGTGATAACAGTAATGTATTATTAATTCTGCCCTTCGACAATGAAGAAATATCAATTGTACATTAAGAAATAAATTAGAGATGCCATTTGGTCCGTTATTTGTATTGTTATTTTCTCTTTGCAGTATTAATATTTGTGCTTTTTTATGCTTGTTTTGAAACATTATTCAAAAGGCTTGTGCTGTGTATATTTGTATGTGTAGTACTTAAAGTTCAGATCACCCTATTTGTTATGGTTACAAAAGGAGGATTATGAAAATAGAGCAATACAGAAATAGAGCCCGCCCTTTAATCAGTCATTAAAATAAATAATCATAACCCAAAAAATGTAAAGATTTTGCCAAGAATATACCAGAGCAGTTGGTATAATTAGAGGCACCTTTGTTCTCAGGCACAGCTATGATGACAAGTGTAATAATTCAGGCACACTGGGTTAAATAAATTTATTAATAATGACAATACACTCTAAACATACAACATGCTAGTCACTCTATTTACAAACATATCAGAGGCCTACATCCTGACCAATCGGAAAACCCTAAATCCTATATATCACCTAACAGGCCAAAAAAAGAGGTAAACTACCATCTACTCCAAACAAAATGCTAGAAAAGGAATGGAATCCTATCTCCCTGTTCTAAAAATGCATCCAGTAATCAGGAGAGACAGTTTTTAACCTAGGGGTTCTCCATACTGGAAATCAGAGTTTCCTAAAAACAACAGAATGGCAAGAGCTCTTAACAAAGTTCAAATACAAGAACCTCCCACCTGGCAATGTCTCTTCTCCTCTCTGTGTCTGGCCAGACATCCCAACCCTGAAAAACTATGGGGGGGTTGCCCCCCCGTGAATATTTGCAGACCAGGGGAGCTCCCCTTGAAACAAAACTCACAGCTATATAATTAAATAATTCACTGATAGGGACTATAATATATATGCAATACACTATAGATACTATAACTCTCCAGCCCAGTTGAAGAATTTCACTTTCTTTGCCAACTTTCGTTGTGCAGGGATGCGGCTCGTTTACCAGTTTTTGAGCTGATTCTCAGATGGCTCAAACATTATATAATCAGATGATTCGCTGATGATTTTTCAGATCAGGGGTGTCGCCAACAGAAACATTTGGGAGTGGGGGGGCGATTTCCAGGAGATTATGGATTATGGATTTCAGGGACACTCCCGGAACTTCCGGGAGACTTGGGACGCCTGTCTTTCCCACCTCCTTTTCTCTCTCTCATCTCTCTCTGTCTGCCTTTTTTATCCTCTTTTCCTCACCTGTTGAATACCCTTAATCGTTTAATAAGACCTCCATTAACCAGGGTAAACCACGGGATTCCTTTGATCAATGTGTCTCGGACCCCCTTCCACTCAGCAAACGCTGCATTTCCTTTTTTGCTATGAAGCTCCGGAGAACTGCAAATGTTGACCCGATAGCTCGATGTCTGACTATTTTCCCTAGACTCTTGAGACTCCTCGATGGCCACTTCCAGGACCCGAAGCAGTATTGTGCGAACACGTATTCTGAAACTGCACGAAAACAGTAAAGCATTTCGAGAAACTGCATGAACAATACTGCTGTGACTTTTACGCAAGGTCAGCTCCTAATCACACTGCTTCCTGTGCGTTTCTCAGTGGGTGTGTGACTGGGGAGTTCTGGTGTCCAATGCATCTCGACATATAAACCTAAACGAGGCTAACTGAGCCTCGGCTAGTACCCACGCTGCCTTGCTCCATTTCATTTCCCGGCTGGCAGCTAATCTCACTGTGGGGCAGAGAGCCCCTGGTGGCCGTGGTGGTGCTGTGCCCCAGGCTGCAGCGCTGCGGGCTGAGAGGGCGCTGGCAGAGGCAGCACAGCTGTCGGTTGAAGCGCTCCCGGAAGGAGTGGCTGAGCCAGTAGAGGGCGAAGGGGTTGACACAGGAGGAGCTGAAGGCCAGAGCGCGCGACAGGAAGGTGGCCAGCAGGTGGCCAGCGGACGTGTCCACTTTGGCGTGGTAGGTGAAGGAGCGGTACAGGTACAGGATGTGATTGGGGAGCCAGCAGAGGGCAAACAGCAGCACAAACACCAGAACCGTCTTGGCCAAGCGCCTCCGAGACTCGATCTGTAACACCACACGTCCGTCACCCACGGAGCTGACACAAAAGACATTCTCCACTTTCCTTCCTCCTTCCTGCCTCAACAACCAGAATTCATCAATATTCCCAAGGAAGACAGCTCTGGGTGTTGGGGAGATAAAAGATGTTTGAAGGAGGCACTCGTGTTTCTGTTTTACAGGCGTTTGAGTACGTCTGGGTGTGCAGCCCTGGCCTTTTGTTTTGGGACCTTGAACTTCACTCGAGCCTAAATGAACCTCGTGGCCCTGCTGCCACAGCTACAGGTTTATTTTTGAAACAGACTTGCAGTAGAGAGGAATGGAAAAGTCCAGTGTGCCTCGATCTGCAACATTTCAGATGGGACCTGCCCTGCTCCCGAGTTTTGACTCTGAAGCCGAGATCAAGGAAACCCCAGACGTCATAAGCTTTCACCAACCTGAAACTATTTCCTCATACTGATTGGTTCTCATCCCTTTACCTGTTCATTCTTAACTACCAAATATCGACTAATTGTGACTACTTTTTACATCATTTGAAGACTATGGATATTTCAGGATTGCAGGAAAACTTACTCGCTTGCTGGGTTTCCTGTTCTAAGTACTGTATGTCAAGACTGTAGCCGGCTCTTGTGCAATGGGACACTGTTTTCGCTCCCATCCAGTGGCTGATCTACTTGTTTCAACAGCCACTTCAGGGGACCTAGTCTTCTCTCATCTATGGTTTAGCGAACTAGCCAAAAACTGGATGGTTGCCGTGTCCGGAGAGCAGTTTGTGATGAAACTTTCTCATCCTCTAGGAATTTTTCGCACCAGCTAATCAAATCTAAACTTGCACATAAGGTGTAAGCAACACCATAGACTGCTCCCAGCCCTCTCCTTTTCACAGGTGCACAGGGTGTCACCAGTACCTGTGCCTTCATGTGTCTGAGGAGTGCCCAGTGATGCAGTGCTTCTGGGCGATTGATGTGCTTTCTGGTGTGACTGTGCCAATGACCTCTCGACTTCTCCTGCTCAGTGATGGTTTCCAAATGAACTACCAATCTTGCCTGACATCTTTTGCTGGCAGATCTACTTACAGCCAGAAAACTAACACACCCTGAAACTGCACTTGGCTTATGTTTTTTCCTTCCTTGTGTATTGCCATCTGTGGTTGGTGGGTTTTTTTGTGTGCATCTGTTACGAGTTGATCTATTCTTGTGTTTTCAGAATTTTGTAAAAACCTAAGAGCAGGTTACTTTACTAGGACCAAAATCACAAGTCCTTCAGCTTATAGGGCGGTGTGGTGGCGCTGTGGTGGCGCTGTGGCTCAGGGTACAGGATCTGCGCCTGTGGCTGGAAGGTTCGCCGGTTTGTATCCCGCAGCCAGCAGAGGAATCCTACTCCATTGGGCCCCTGAGCAAGGCCCTCGACCCCAACTGCTCCAGGGGTGCTGTACAATGTCTGACCCTGCGCTCTGACCCCAAGCTTCTCTCCCTGTCTGTGTGTCTCATGGAGAGCAAG